GGACAAGGGGTAACGGGTTTAAATTGAAAGTGGGGAGGTTTAGATTGGATATCAGGAAGGAATTCTTCCTGGAGAGGGTGGGGAGTGCTGGGACAGGTTGCCCAGAGAAGCTGTGGATGCCCCATCCCTGGAAGTGTCCAGGGCCAGGCTGGATGAGGCTTGGAGCAACCTGGGCTATGGGAGGTGTCCCTGCCCAGGGCAGGGGGTTGGACTGGGTGGGCTTTCAGGTGTCTTCCCATCCAACCCATTCCACGATTCTATGTAGTGTCTTGCCCACAGCCCATAAATCAGCCGCTGAGCCTGCACTCCGTAGGTAACGCTTTATTTTCTCTATGTACACTTCCTTACACAACCGGGTGATCACTGGACGCTCAGCGCCGAAGACCACAGCAGTGCGCTACAGCAGCCCCGCTTTCTGAGGAGAGTGGAAGTAGGAATGGCAGGACGAGCCCTGAGCCCCAGCCTTGCGTGGAGAGAACAGAAACCTTCGCTTCTGCTGGCTCTGTTCTTCTTCGCTTCCATCGAAGCGGATCAGGGAAAAACCCGGGGAGACTGGAGGCTTTGTGCTTTCCCCGTTGCTGCCTTCCCTTGTGCCTCTGCGGGGGGGTGGGCTATCCCCGGAGCCCCCGTCTGACGCTCTGGAGATCGCCGTGCCTCCGTGGTCTCCGCGTCTTCCCTCTCACACAGGAATCTACTTCCAACTCTGCCCCAAGGGAATGGATCTCGTGCGGACAGGGAGAAAAGAGGAGATGTGGGATGACAACGGACATCCAGCACTACTGATGGGCTCTAACAGCGAAGGCTTGCTAGTGCCAGCGGGAATGTTGATTGGGAAAAACTCTGGTGACGGGAAGGTGAGCCCTGGGCGTGTTTGCACACACGGCACGAGCGAAGAGGAGACGACCAAGTGCTTTGACACGTTCGCGGCAGCGTTGGGACGAGCAACTTCACCGCTGAGTTGCCGCAGGAAGTGGAAGTGTAGCTGTAAAATGAGTCACCAGGAGGTTAGCGGTGGGAATACCCCCCTGCCTTCGGGGATGCAGAGCAGCAGCATGGCCTGGAGGTTGGATTATCCCACCCGGGTGGAGGGTTGGAACGGAGAGGGTGGTGGGCATTGTCAGAGTGCAGCGTTGGAGCACTGGGCTGGCGTTGCTGGCCCAAAGCGGAGCAGAAGGATTTGCTGGGCACGTGGAAGTCCTGTGGCTGGCTTGGTGACGTCAGGGGACGCTGGAAAGAAAATGACTTCGTGTCGAGGAAGCAAAACGTCTCGTCGGGCTGACTGGGCACAACGGCTCTTCATCCCAGGCGTCAGAACCTGCCCAGTCCTAGCGATGCTTACAGAAACCACCCTGGCTTAACACTGCGGTCACAGCAGCGCCGGGGGGGATCAGCTGGGCTGCAGAAACCCTGGAAAGCCCTTTTTCCTCCCCATTTTCAGGCTACTGCCTGGCTCGAGCCCTTTGATGAAGGCAGGAGATGTCAACCGTCCCGTGCTGCGTTGTCACCCAGCCTGGCTGCTGATGGCCACCACCGGAGCTCGCTGAGAGTGCGGCCGTGCCGTTGGCTTGGGACATTGTGTCCCTGTTCGGGCTGTGCAGGCGGCAGCCTTCGGCTCGAGATTCCAGTCTGTGAAAGCCGTGTCTGCAGCCGGAGGGAGGGAGCTACTCCTGGTCCCACGGGCAGACGTCGGGTCTGGTTTTACTCGTGCTCCTGCCTCCATCTCCAGGGCTCGTCCTGGCTCTTCCCTGCCCGTGGAGGGCTGGGGTGGGATCCACACTCTCCATGTCCCACGGACACACCTCAGAGGTTTTCCTGGTGTCTGTGCTCTCCTCAGCCTCTCCCGCTTCCCAGGGACAAACGTGGATGGGGCTGCTGCCTGTG